GTCTGACAGAAAACTAGGTGCAGGATTGAATGAACTAATTTTCCATTAAAACTTCAAATAATGAAATACCATGAAACTAATCATTTATATTAATTAAGACTGACTATACACAATCGATCGGGGCACGCGGTAGCGTAGTTGGTTGAGGCACCATGCTACAAGCCGGAAGGTTAAGGGTTCGATTCCCGATGAAGTCATTGGATTTTTCAATTTACCTAATCCTTCCAGCCGCACTATGGCCCTAGGGTCGACTCAGCCTTTAACAGAAATGAGCAGCAGGAATCTTCCTGGGTGGTAAAGGGCGGCCGGCGCTTAAGGCTGACAACCTCACAGCCATCTGTTGAGACGATTGTCTAGAAAATGTGGAATCCTCGTCTCACAACTATATGGACTTCCACGGACTGTTACAGAGATAGTGTGACATGACGCCTGAAACCAGAATAGTCCATTGCTAGACAACGGCTCGCTAGGCACTAATCCGCTGCAGCGGATAAGCTTGTGGGAAAACCAGACCATTGCTGCGGAATTAACACACGTTTCGTAGCAACGGATAAACACAGACTAATAGAAGAAATGTTGAAGGTAATGATCTCTACTCGGTTCGTCTCGAAGTTATAAAATGAGTCCAATTGGTACGTCGGCCACGTTTGTCCTATTGTACCAGCCCCGGATGATGGACAGTGATGAGTGTGGAGCAGTCGGTGAAATGAGAATTAGCACGGGAAACAGAAACAGTCGGAGAAAACGTGCTCCGGTGCCACTTTGTCCACCACAAATCTCACATAACCTGACCTGGGATCGAACTAGGGCCACCGCTGTGCGAAGCCGGCAGCTAACCTCCTGAACAATGGCACGGCCTAACCTCAGACCTTACTTTATTGCCTCTGTGTGTCACAATGTGGGTTTGGCCGCCAACACAACATATTTCAAACAAACAAATTCAGTATCACTGTATTAACATTGGTTTTATTTAGCGTCTGCTACGTGTTTCGATCTATGTTCGATCATCAGCAGGCAGTTTCTTAAACGCGTGCCTCTTACTGAATTGTCTTAATATGGATCCACATTAGTATTATTTTCCAAATACTTTGATTTACACATCTCGTCATGACACATGTTGTACTTTTGATATTATAGTTAATCCTTAGGGCTAAAATTGTTTAAATTAATGTTTGTGTCTCGCCGATATGATGTCGATTTCCGTGAAGCTTGTCATATATCAGGTGATGATATCTCCAGCCAATCACAGTGGCTGCGCGGTCTAAGGCATGAAGTGTCTTCGCCCGCTCGAACACTGGGATCGTGGGTTCGAATCCCACTCGAGGCCCGGATGTCTGTTTGCGTTTATTCTGTATGTAGGTAGCGGCCTCGTGACGGGTTGATCCGCCGTCCAAGGAGACCTACCGACTGTGTACAGAAAAAGCGGCTAAGGTCCACAAAGGGCTGTAGAACTAAAGACAGATAGATGATGCATTCTGGGATTCATTCTTAATGTTTGTTTTATATCATGGACGATTACTCATGTACAATTATTTTTGCTAGTTATGTACATGTATTTCTTCGTGATGAAGTTATTTTAGAGTGTGTGTTTATGTGCTTCTTTTGTATGGACGTTTTCTTCCTACTACTGAATGCTGTCGCTATGTTGCGGTTCTGTGTGGGCCTGACCCGCGTTAGGCTAAGAATCGGAAGGCCTCGTTTTCATGTAACCGACATTTCCCTAACAGAAGCTCCAAGCAACGGCTTCAGCGTGTCTATATGTCACGGAGAATAAAGTGAGAAGACCTCCGATTATATAAGTCGTTCGTTGTGGCTTTTCTACTTTCAATAATTATTGAAATTCTACCCTTCTTCCTGCTTCGTCCATTCATGGCATCTAACTCTGTCACATTCTTCTTTCCAATTTATCAAGTCTTAGACCCCACTGTTATTGTCAGACATGGGACAGCCATTAAAGGCTACATCGATAAAGTGCTTTGTAGGCACCACAACGGAAGTGATTCCTTCCTGTGCCCTCTCGTCTCAGTAACATGGATAATTAATGATTTGAACGTTCCATTGTGCAAGTGTTTCCTTCCTAAACGATCAGTCTTTCACAGGCGGCAATTCTAACGGTCTTCTCAGATGTGACGACGTGTAGTCTTGTAAAAAGTTAGCAACACTTCAGAAAAATCTGATTTCACGTTCACAGCATTCTGCTGTTTCTCTGAAAAGTTAATAAAATGTTACCATATTACCATATTCAATAATATTTTCGGCAATGTCACAATTCGCGGTTACTCAGAAGGCGTTGTCGGTTCTTGGATAATTTAACATTAAGAAGCAAACAGTCGTAACTTAACCAAATTTCTCGCCTTTTATGGAACCAGAAGGTTCATAACCATATTCACAACAGTCGCCTATGGTCCCAAACTTGAGCCAGATGAACCCGTACGACACCGGCCACGTTCATAACCATATTCACAACAGTCGCCTATGGTCCCAAACTTGAGCCAGATGAACCCATACGACACCGGCCACATTGGCTGAGGTCTCCGTACAAAATTTTCGGTAGCACCTTGATTATGCCACTGCTACTTCCTTCCAAATTCCTGCATATACATCTATTATCATAGCATTTGACGCCACACAGTCTGTTACTGACAGCCTCGTGCAATGAACATCAGAAAAGAACGTCAATTTACAGAGGTCCATTTAACACTGAGCGTGCGTTTGTTTGCTGGTATCACTGAACAAAAGGCCGCGCCATAGTTCAAGCGGTTAGTCGATGGCTTTCCACCGCGGCGGCCCGGGTTCGATCCCGGGTCTGGTCAAGTGGGATTTGTGGTGGACAAAGTGGCGCTGGGGCAGGTTTTTTCAGAGTACTTCGGTTTCTCCTGCCAATATTCATTCCACCAATTGCTCCACAATCACCCTCACCTATCATCTGGGGCTGATACAATAGGCCAGAATTGGCCACAGTACAAGGGACTTAGTCCCACCCCACTAGCAATAAAAAGAATAGTGGCTGCCCTGCTCACCAAGCCGGACAATTTCCCAACAGGGAGGACAAGAGGGACGAGGTATGTACCACGCATTGAAGTGAAGACCTGAACGTACAGAGGTTTCACAGGAAAGTCTGAAGAAAATACACCACTTAAAATATCTAGGCATTGATTGGAGATAAAGGTAAGGTAAAGCTATCCCTGTAACAGGCCGTGGAAGACCACAGGTTTGTGAGACGTCCAGGCTCCCACATTTTCTAGACTATCGGCTCACAGACGGCTGTGAGGTTGTGAGCCTTACGCGCCGGCAGCCCTGTACCCACAGAAAGATTCCTGGTATTCATTTCTGTTAGAGGCTGAGTCAATCCCACGGCGGCTGGAAGGATTAGGTCAATTGAAAAATCCTCGGGAATTGAACCTGCTACCTTCTAGCTTGTAGCGTAGTGCCTCAACCAACTGCGCTACCGCGTGCCCCTCAGTGGTTGGAGAATATTATTTGAATGCAATGTAGAAGAACAGAAAGGAAGGGTGTGGAATATACGAAATATATATGGATCAGTAACCGGATTTTTAGGAGCATGGAATAAACTTTGAGGTTGTAAACAGGATGGGGGAATTTATTGACTAGCATCCTAACTGTTAAGTTCTTAATGTGCACTCCGCTTTATGATATTACAGAACGCACCCCTAACTGTACAACACACTTCTCGCTCTGTTTTTCCTATTCCTTTCCTGGCGCTATTGTCAAACAAAAACGGGAAGATTACAGATTGCGTCATACCGTGTTACTGTTCACAGATATCTCGTTCCACGCAGAGCGCAGTAACTGAAGTGTAAGAGGTGCGATCAGAAAGCTCAGCTCAAACACCGACAGGCCGTTTTCGTAAATCTCTTGTCATCACATTTGAAGTGTCATGTTCACCAGTACCAATAACACCGAGAATCTTACACGTACGACTTTGGTGATGTCACTATTATAAACGCTGCGTAACAACCATCAACAAATCCAGCACAGGAGGCAGTAATCTGCTGCGCTTCCCTCTACATATCTAGAGGAGCTGAAATAATTGTTTTGAGACGCGTTCACATTTTAGTGATTTGTAGTGGCGCCTGAAGGAATGTAATATCAAGTCTAAACGTAGAGTGACCTTCGGATTCCATTAAAGGTCATTAAGTCACCTACGAACTAACATCAGGTCATAACGTGTTCTTGAAGTAGAAAGGAAGTCATAAGCTGACCGTGGAATTGATAACAGGTCACAACGTGACTTCGGTGTTGACAGCAGATTGTGACCTGGTTTTCGAGTTGTCAGTATGTCATAACATGACCTTCGGCTTTTCAACAGGTCATAGTGCGACCTTGAAATTTATGTTATCGTGAATTCTTGACTTCACAGCAGGTCTTATTAACATGACCTTAGTCTTGACAAGAATTTAAGACTTAGCAGAATGTCCTCAAATGTGCTTAGAACTTGGCAGAAGGTTCAGAAGTGCGCATATGACCCGACAGCAGGTCCTGAAATGTGCTTAGGACTCTACAGTAATTTCTGATATGTACGTATAACCTTACAGCAGGTCCTGAAGGGTGCTTAGGACTAGACAGAAGGTCCTGAAATGAGATTAGGACCTAACAACAGGCCCTGAAAAGAACGTAAGACTTCATAGTATATCTTAAGGCGACCTTCGGTCTTAATAGCAGATCATAACGTGATATAGGATTTCATCAAACACCTGAGCGTGAACTTATGTGTAAGACGTGATAACAAGTTTTAACGTACAAAAGGCTTAACAAAAGCCATAACCTAACATTATTTCTTGAAAAAAGGTTCTTACTAGTCACTTACCAGATAATTTCTTACACTCATTCTACTTGCATTTGCCATATCATCTCATCACCGTTCACTCAGAACCCTTCCAAGATATCTAACGTTTAGTGAGATTTTCTGTTTTGTACGGTTTTAAAAGGATCATCCCGTGTTGTGGTTGGAGGAAACCAATTCTGAAACGTTGGCCTACCTTCCATGACGTCACTAATACAGCAGTAGATTCTTCCAGCAGCTATCTTCAACGCATTGTTAGATGACGTGTGCACTGTGGAAGAACAGAAAGTTTCAAGTTAGTTCCCCTCTTGAACCTGAGAGAATATAAACGAAGCGAACATATCCCTGGCAGTGTAAACATGCTTCTGGAGAATATATGTAAAAATATGAAGGAAGGAAGAACAGAATTTCTAATCGCATCGTACAACGAATTCACAAATTCTTACCGAGCAGGCTGGACAAGCCTGTATTCGGGAGGTGCACGGCTCAAACCTTGGCCGGAACGCCGGCATTTCTGACAGAGGTGTCTCGTGGCTTTCCTCAGTCCCTCCGGGCAAATGTTGGGATGAAAACTCAGTCAGGCCAAGATTAAGTCCTTCAAAATATTTTTTTGTTCATCTTATTTTGGACTGTGTGTAGTCCTGACAGCGATAACGCCGCAAAACAATTCTCCTTCCGACGAAATACAAATTAGTTAAATCTGATAACTCTGTTGTTTGTAGTATCAGTATACTGTTCACATCGCCGCTCTTTGAATACAAAATAAGCGTGAATATTCTGACGTGTTCACTTTTTGTTGTTTAATTATCCTGAATCCGCAAGAAGAACCGGAAGAAGTGTGTTGCCTATTGAGAATAAAATGTGTGTTCATGCTTTCACTGAAACGTTTGTTAGAAATATGGTAAACCCACGTTAGTCCGGTAACAGTTAATCGGGAAGTCGGCAGTCTGACTCGAAACATGCAAACTGGAATATGCTGTTCAGATCTGAGTACATGTTCTAAAAGACACTTGGCATTTAGGAAGGCAGTTGAGTCAATGTCAAAACTTCAGTTTTTTCAAACCTGCATCATTAAGTTCAAAAACAAATACAACTTCTGAGTCTTCTATGGATGAATAAGTATATTTTCTTTTTTTAGTTTTTAAATAAAGTCTCTACAGCGATATTAAATTATTTATTTTCATCAGCACTACTTAAATCATTAAATTTTCCATTTATTCATGTTCTAAGTTTTTTTGGCCATTTTTGCTTCACTAATCCGGATTTCTATTTATCTGTTCTAAGTTTTTTGCTCTTAGGACTTCACTAATCCGGATTATCGCTTAATCCGGACAACCTCTCCCCCCAGTTACTCCGGATTAGCAAGGGTTTACTCTATTTTTTGCTCTGATAAACATTTAGCGAGTTGCGTTCCATACACACGCAGAAACGCATGTAGGTCTTCATGTGAATTGTTTGCTGTTGTTCTCCGATTGTAACATTAATTCGAATGTGCCGTCAAGTTTTAGTAAACATTTCCAGTACCAAATTACACTCAAATGTTATCAGCCGTTTTGGAGTTGACCCATGCGGTCACACCGACACTATGACGCTAATAGTGCATTATCGCGACCTTCAATTTCAAGAGAACAAGGTGCGGCATATTTAAAGCAGGTGATATGTACTGGAAATAGGAGCAGATGACTGAGTAGTAACGGTTTCGACTCTTAATACTTTTCGTAGTTAACTTCAGCCCCTGCAAGTAAATTCAAAGAGAATATTTCGGTGAGGCAATAACCGCTTCCTTCCAAATTCCTTCCAATTCATCAGTTCATCATCCTATATTTTGACATGTGGAAGCCACTTATATTGACCTAAGTGCTAGCCAATCAGCGCGGACCACGGCAGCTCCAACGCCCACTAAAACGACAATATACCTCCTGCACGATAGTCGCAATCGTAGCTAGGAAACATTCATTGCTACGCAACGGCTCAGTAATTAGAGATAGGTAAACATGGTAAAGTAACTGTAGTAACCAGTGAACCTCTACGGTCAGCCCAAAAGCTACGTAGCGTGGGCCGATCGAGAAGATACGGAGATCCAGCGTGGAGGTGGGCCACCCTGTTCCTGGGAGATATAAGTACGGGGACCTTCTCGAATCTGAGACAGTAAAGTATGGTCATGAGTCCTGCGGGACTCGAACTTGAGAATGACTGCGCTGGCGAGGACCAGCAGCAACTGTCAATGACAGACCCATCCTCTCGTGAGAGAGGATGTTACATAAGGATTATAACTGCAAGTGTTCATTTGGAAAATAAAAGTCCTGGTCGTTGGTCTCATGGAGCCTGTCGCCAAGACAAACTGATTGGCGGTAAACCGCCCGTCGCGAAGTAACTCTGACTCTGACATAGAGACAGAAGCGGAGAAAATATTCCATCATCCGAAGCGCTACTACGCAACGGCTAACAAACGCACAACAGACTGAAGCTGGTACGTGTATTCATTACAGCAACAATAAATATTTGTATATAAGTTTGGTTGAGTGAGGCACTATGCTACAAATCGGAAGGTCAAGGGTTCAAATCCCGATGAGGTTATTCGATTTTTTTCAGTTGACCTAATCCTTCAGCCGCACTATGGCCCTGGGGTCGACTCAGCTCCTAACAGAAATGAGTACCAGGAATTAATTAAATAATTATTTAATTAATAATTTAATAATAATTAATTATAATTTTCTTGGGGAGTAAAGCGCGGCCGGCGCGTAAAGCTGACAACCTTACCGCCATCTTTGAGCCGATTGTGTAGATAATGTGGGACCCTCAACGCCTCATGGCCGTATGGGCCTTCACGAACTGTTACAGGGATAGCTTTACTTTTTTTTAATACTTTATAGAAGTTTAATAGGTGGTTGTCTCTTCAAGCATCGACAATCCCACAGACGCTATACAGTGTAACTAGTTGTAGACCGTGTTGCTATGTAAAGATGTAATCCTCATCGCTATGAACAAAACTGCCGTAAACTGTTAAGTAAAGTTATAATGTTATTATATTACGAAATTGCTTAGGAAATAGAGACACAAAGAGTCATGTTCAAAAAAGTTCGTTATCATCTGTAAACTGATTTCTCCCTCTCTCTCTTTATTCCATAGCAGGCTCGTCCCCCTGGGAATTCAGTTTTCTGCTCTTATTTGTTCTCCCCCCCCGCCCTAATTCTTCTTTCAAGCGTTGTAGAACCGGATAAATCCTTTTAGCAAATTTGCAGCATACGCCGCAATTCGGTTCCCCGCCTCAAGACAGAAAATTCATCAAACATTTCATAAAAAATACAAATTAAAACATAAACTGAAATTATATCCATTACCCCTTTCAAGTACAGTGGTAACTAACCTACCACAGGTCTGAACTCTCCGCATTAGTTATAATGAGGCGTACAGGCCCGTTGCTAAGCGGTGACTCTGTAAATAGAACTGTTTCTGTGCAACGGCTCGGTAAAAACGTGCCCGTTGCTAGGTCGAAGATTCTTCATAATGCAACAGTTGGACTACAACAATAGAAGAACTCTGTTTTTATGTGGTTTCTATGTGTCTTCTATCTATAATAATAATAAATAGAGTACTGTACAGCGAAATAGCTGTGTCTCGGAAACCGTTCGGAATAGAACACATGTAATACAATTTTTTGTTTAGAATGACCGATACTATGACCTCCCAGAATACTGACACATTCTGTATAGCGTCGAATTGTAGGATGGCTGGGAACTGGGAATGATACGGAAGGAAGCCCTGACAGCAATGATAAAATGGCTCTACCGGGATATCCGGTTCCCCAATCGAGATTCGAACCGAGTATTATGCAAATACGAATCCAGAGCATTGACGCTAGACCAAGATGATCGACAATACCGCTAAGTTAGGCTACTCTTATATCCTTAATAGAAACCAGGCTTGTAATCTTCCATTATGTTTAGCCAGCAACAGCAGTAACCTATAGTTCCTACCAGGTGACGCTAGTGTTTTCAACTGTGCTTAGGGATTCCTAGATGTATATACGTGTATGTATGTACGTATATGTGTATATACGTGTATGTATGTACGCATGTATGTGTGTATGTACTGTGGCAGATACACCCGTTCCTAGGCACTGGCTCTGTAACCAACAGCCGTTGCTAGGTAATGGCCGCAACAGATCGTAACATGCAACAATGAAGTAACTGGGAAGCGGTGTTCTCTACGCCATACGCGCGACAGCTACACGATACAACAGAAGAACTGTTGGGAGAAGAGTTCTATTTGTGCTCCCTGCCTAGAATTTAGTGCCTTGTGAGATAGTCGTCGGTCAATAAGGGCGTGAATACGGAAGCTGTGGAAGCTACAGCGTTGGAAGCCGTTACCAGGGGATAACCGGTGAACATACAGCAGACTGAGAAGACATGGTGCGTGCCGTAGTGAATTGTAGTGTGTGTGTGTGTGTGTGTGTGTGAATTAGCGATAGTACAATAGTTCAATAAATACTGTAACGGATTTGATCAACGCATTGTCAGGCAACGGCTCCGTGAACACAATCACATACGCAAAAATAGATGAGGCTGTCTCTTCTATGACGTCCGCACGACGCCCAGTGCTGGTAACGGACCAATGAATTCGCAGTCTGACACGTGACACGTATTTTCTGTGGAGTCCGCGGCAAAGAATTATAAGAAGTTCCGGAATAACGGAGAATGCAGTAAAAGACGAAAGATTTATACGTACTGAAGGGAAGCCAGAGAAGGCAATAAAATATAAGAGGCTTGAACTTGGCGTTGGTGAAGCTTATGACCGTTCAAATGACTAAGCTGCCATTGTAGCATACGATACGTAAGTTTGGCATGATCTGCTCTGTAAAGCCTATACTGACAGAGGACTTGTGTGTAGTGCAAAGGGAAGAATTTTCAATAACATGCTATATGTGTGAAATTACACTTGACGTAAGGCCAAGTCTATTCATAAGAGACAAACCCATCTTCTCGTCAGAGATGTTACATAAGAACTATTACCGCAAGAGTTCAGTTAAAAAAAAAATCTGTGATCGTGGGCCTCAAGGAGCCTGGCACCAAGACGAACTGATTGGCGGTAAACCACCAGTCATAAAGTATCTTTGCCTTTGACTTTGAGAGGCAGTCCAGGAGGGCTGAGTTGGAGAGTTCAGTTCTCTACGGGAAGCTGTGAAGAAAGAAGTTAGTTGTAAGAGTGCGGTTTTGAAGAGAAGACTTTATGTGTAATACTTGTAGTGTGTAATTAAGTGAGACTGTTATA